GGATTTCTGAGTTCGAGGCCAGCCTGGTCTACAGAGTGAGTTCCAGGACAGCCAGAACTACACAGAGAAACCCTGTCTCAAAACAAAAATAAATAAATAAAGATTTATTTGTGTGAAGTCATTTGCCCAGTGCCCCACAAAGATCAGATTTCGGATCACCTGGAGATTAGGATGGTTGTGGGCACTAGGAATTGAACCTGGCTCTTCTGTAAGAACAACGAGTGCTCTCAACCGCTGAGGCATCTCTCCAGTTCCCACATATTTTTAAGAGTCCAATCTACAAGGCCCCATTTACAGAAGCTAAGATGGATAGTAGAAAAAAAAAATCCATGTAAAATGCCTGTGATTTTTTTTAACCACTGGAGAGGCAGAGGCGGGGGGATTATGAGTTCAAGGCTAGTCTGAGTTACAATGCAAAACTCCTTCTCAGAATAAAGTTAGGACAATAAAGAAAAAGGTAAAGTGTTTGCCTGGTATGTGTGAAGTCTAGCGTTCCAGCCCCAGGGGCTGCTTGAAACAGCATGTTGGTGCTGGCCTCGGAACCCAGCAGTGGGGAGGTGAGGGCAGGGAGAGGCTGCTCCGTTTCAGCTTCTCTCGGTGAGGGTGCAGACGGAAGCTCACATATCGGGCTTCTGTGTCCACCGCCTTACAGACTGTAGCCATATGCGTGAGGATGTCTTAGTTAGGGTTTTACCGCTGTGAACAGACACCATGACCAAAGCAACTCTTATAAAGGATAACATTTAATTGGGCTGGCTTACAGGTTCAGAGGGTCAGTCCATTATCATCAAGGCAGGAGCATGGCAGCATCCAGGCAGGCATGGTCCAGGCAGAGCAGAGAGTTCTACATCTTCATCTGAAGGCTGCTAGCAGAAAACTGGCTTCCAGACAGCTAGGACTAGGGTGTGTCCATGTTCACAGTGCCACACCTACTCCAACAAGGCCACACCTCCTAATAGTGCCTCTCCCTGGGCCAAGCAGCTACAAAGCATCACAGAGGGCTTGTGAAGGGATGCATGGGCAAAACAGCCCTTGACTCGGCAGAACCTACTCACCCATCACAGCAGGATGCTGACTCTGTCACCTGGCCAAGGGACTGAGGACCTGTAGCCAGAGCCAAGAGCTGAGGAGGTGGCCACTTCCTCAGCAAAGCCAAGGAGCAGCCCCGCCCCTTTTACTTCTGACAGGGTCCCGTGTACACTAAACTAACCTGAAGCTCACTACATTGACAAGGGTGACCTAGAACTTGTGACCCTCCAGCCTCCACCTCCAGAATGATAAGGTCATAAGCATAGGCATGGGAATGGAATCTGGGGTTTTGTGCTTGGGCTAACACCGAGCTCCGCCCATTACCTAGACCAGGAAATGTGCACACAAATGAAAAGCCTGCCCAGCAGCATGTGTAGGGCTTCCTTACACCAGCTAGGAAGGGGAAGGTACCCCATTCTCCTCAGAGCTTAGAACCCCGACAAGGAAAGACTGTATGCCTCACAGATTCAGGGCCAGGAACGCTGAGAATTAAACTAACCAGTTAAGGGGGAAGAGAGAACAATATATTGTCCCCAGCAAGTCATAGAAGCGGTAGATGTCAGACAGAGCTGGCAGCATATTAACGGTAAGTTTCAGACACGCGAAATCTCACTTCCCTCATCTTTATGAAGAGGGTCATAAATTTCACTTTCAAAGATAGTCATCAGGTAGGTATTAAATAAGACAACATCTCTTGTCGAACAGGAGATGCTATCTTCAAAGCTTTCCTGGAGAAGGTCCCTGGCTCATTCTCTTAGCCAGCACTAACTCCAAGGACAGCAATGCAACATCTTTTTTTTGTTGTTGTTGTTGTTGGGGACTTTTCTAGTTTGAATTTTTTTTTTAATTGTTGTTTGGTTTTGGTTGGTTGTTTTTCAAGACAGGGTTTCTCTGTGTAGCCTTAGCTGTCGAGCTCCTGCCTCTGCCTCCCAAGTGCTGGGATTAAAAGTGTGCACCATTGCCGGGCAGTGGTGGTTCATGCCTTTAATCCCAGCACTTGGGAGGCAGAGGCAGGCAGATTTCTAAGTTCGAGGCCAGCCTGATCTACAGAGTGAGTTCCAGGACAGCCAGGGCTACACAGAGAAACCCTGTCTCAAAAAACAAAACAAAACAAAAAAAGTGTGTACCATCACTGCCTGACAACCTTGGCCTTTTGGGTCTGTGTCTCCACGCCTGGTTTATTCTGTGTTGTGTTTAAATTTGGGGCTTCCTGCATGTGAAGTGATTGGTCTGCGAAGGCCCCTGGCCATTCCAGCTGCATTCACACTTTCTTTATACTTTATATTTTTTGTTTTACATTTATTTTATTTTATTTTATTTTATTTTATTTTATTTTATATTGGACGTGTGTGCATCTGTATGTGTGTGTATCTGTGTATGTGAGTATGTGTGTGTGTGTTCATGTGCCAGGGTGTACATGTGGAGGTCAGAGGACAGCTTTGAGAGTCACCTCTTTCTCCCTAGCACATGTGAGTTCTAAGGGTTGAAATCAGCCCAGCAGCAAGCAATCTTACTCACTGAGCCTTTACATTGGCTGGATTTTTAATTTGTTTTAATTTTTTAATTAAACTTTTACTTTATACCAGGTGGTAGTGAAGACCTCCGCAGAGGGGAGACCCTCACTCAAGTCTCAGAAAGTTGCGACTACCCAGTAATCTGCTCGAGACACCATGTACCGGAGCAATAGCGAGGTTTATTAGGGCGTGACAGCTAACTGCCGGTCAATTCGTATGCCCACGCAGGAGCTGAATTGACCCCAACAGCCAGTTTGAGAGGGGTTTTTAAGGGGAAAAACCACAAACCAAGGAATGGGGAGGGGGATGAAGGGTTGTTAAGGTGGCATAACATAAAAATAGTGGAACATTCTAAAGGAACCCAACCTACGGGAGTCAGGGTCAGGTAAAAACTCTGTATGCTTATCTTTCTCAAGAATGTGGTCCTGCCCTGTTACTTTGGCCTTGCCCTGTCACTGCGGTTCTCAGCTTGGTTCCCAGCTTGGTTCCACCTGGCTAACTTGCATTTTAGCCAGTTCCTGTGACTAGCCTGTCCACATTCTTAACTTGCTTCATGGCTTGGTTTCTCCATGTCTTTATAAAGAAACCCTAAAGAATATTTTATATGTCTAAAAAGAATTCTATATACCCAGTATCTATAATTTTTCACTCTACAGTAGTGGCGCACATCTTTAATCCCTGCACTTGGGAGCCAGAGGCAAGTAGATCTCTGTGAGTTCGAGGCAAGCCTGGTCTACAGAGTGAGTTCCAGGACAGCCAGGGTCACATAGAGAAACCCTGTACAGGAAAAAAAAAAAGTGTATTTTATGGGTATGAGTGATTTGTCTGGATATGGCCCTCAGAGGCCAGGCTATGGTCCAGGTAGTCCAACAATGGCCATCTCCCACAGAGTAACCCAAAGCCAAAGAATTCAATAGTTGTTCAGTCACAAGACTGGATGTCTTAGCAGTCCCAGTGTGGTGCTGGTCTCCAAGGCAAGTCCTAGGGAGATGCTCGTTTTCAGTCTCCACTGAAATCTCACAGAAATGGCCTCTAAACCCCCTGAAGGCTCACCTCAGGGACAGCACAGGTGGGCTTGCTTGCCAGAGTGAAGGCAAGCAGGGACAAAACACAAAAGCTGCCTTCTTCTGGTCCTTTTATGTAGGCTGCCACCAGAAGGTGCGGTCCAGATTTAGGGTTGGTCTGTGTACCTCAAATGAATCAGATGGGATGGCTCAAGGGACATAGGCCCTTTGAATTCATTCCCTAGAACCTACCTGAAAGCCCGGCAGTGGTGGTACATGCCTTTAATCCCAGCATTTGGGAGGCAGAGGCAGGAGGATTTCTGAGTTCAAGGCCAGCCTGGTCTACAGAGTGAGTTCCAGGACAGCCAGGGTCACACAGAGAAACCCTGTCTCAAAAAAAAAAAAAAAAAAAAAAAAAAGAATCTACATGAAGACTCTCTCAGGAATTAATCTTTGATTGGCATATATGTGCCAAGCAAAGAATACACACATACGTGCACGTGTGTAAGTATCTATATGTGTATGTATAAAAAAAAAGAAAAAGAAATCCCACTCTTTTACACAGGATCTGCCAGGGCACGCATGAAGTCCTAGCACTTGGAAGGCCAAGGCAGTAGAACCCGACTTCAGGGGGAGCTTGGGCTATGCACACATAAGATCTGTCACCATCCATAAGCCCCATCCTTTATCCTAGACATTTTGCTTTTAGCCTGGAACACAGATATTGCTAAGCCCTTTATTGAGCGGCTGGGTGCGTGTCTGTGGACCGTTTGGAATGGCGCGATTCTCTGATGCTAGCCTGTGAGGTTGCGTAGCCACGTTGGACCAGGTCTGTGTTTTGGGTAGAGGATCCATTCAGGAGGGATGCCTGGTGCCAGGAAGCTGCTCAGCCTGCTCTGAGCCGACCTGCTGGTCTCCGCGGTCCTCCCCTCTTGGTTGTATAGTTGCTGTTGTTGCTTTTGGCCTGGAGCTTTCTTTGTGGACCAAGCTGATGTAAAACACAAAAAGCTGGTTGCCTTTGCCCGCTGAGTGCAGGGACTAAAGGCAGTTATCACCATGTCTGGCTATTGTTTGTTTTGTTTGGTTTGATTGTCCTTTGTAGCTGGCCTCAGACTCCTTGTGTATCCAAGGATAACCTTTGACTCTCTGATCCTCTTGCCCAAGAATTTGTTCCAAATTCTGGAACTACAAGCATGTGAAGGAAGCATTCTGAGCACAGTCCACCCTAGAACCCTCTGAAATCCCCCTGCCTCAACTAGCACCTCACCCCTAGGTGCAGGGATGTCACCAGCCACCGGGAGGCGCTCTAGGCAACCAACCTCTAACTTGTTGCAGGTTTTGCCTCAAGGATGCTTTTACTTAGCCCAATCTGGGACCAGCGGGAGATCAGAGGCTGCCAGTTGAAGCTCAAGCCAAGCAGAGCAGGTTGGAGCTTGCTGACTCTTCAAAGGCCTCTCTCCTTCCTCCAGGCCGTTACCTGGACAACCCGAGGCGCCAGGGACCAGTACACCTTGCATAACTCTGGCCAGGAGGAAGAACCCTTGATCCAGACAGAGGAAGACTCCAGGGAAAACTCAGAGTGTTCCAGGAAAAGTGCCGCATCGCCAAGGGAGGGTGTAGGTTTGGGGGCTCTTCAAGCTTGGTTCCGTCCCCATCGCTTACGGATGCGTTGCGGCACCAGTGAACCAACGAGAAGGACTGAGAGCCCCCTCTCTGTGGACCAGCTTCCCCCTCAGGTGGTCTCAATCTCTACTCATCCCAGATGAGGCACCAGCAGCTGAACCCACTGTGCCATTCCCAACCCAGCTTGGTGAACCAACCCATTTACTGCGCTCGCCGATGGGAGCACGCGGGAGGTGTACGTGGTCTAGCTTGGTTTCTCTCTTGTGTGATAAAACGCTTACCAAGCTGGGAGGTGGTGGCACACACCTTTAAGCCCAGCACTCTGGACGCAGAGGCAGGTGGGTCTCTGTGAGTTCCAGGACACCCAATGTTAGTGTACAGGCAATTCCACAGTGGCCTGTTCTCGGGGACCTAGCAACTGCTTACGTCATGACCCACCGGCCGCCCCAGCCCTTTCTCTGTTCCCTGTGAGGCACCCGTCTCTCCCTTTCTCCTTCTCTGCCCTCATTGTTAGCATTTTTTTGTCTAGGCTCTGCCCCACAGTTACCTGGCAACGGCAAGGCAAGCCTGAGTCACTAAAAAGGGGGCTGCTTGCCCCCTCTGCTCTCTCTTGCTCCCGTCTGTCTGTCTACAAGTCCACTTGTCTGTCTCTGTCCCTTCCCCAGGTCCTCGATCCTCTCCCCTCCCTCCAATAAATCCCTTGTACACCAGATCTGTTGTATGGGTCATTTCTCAGGGGTGCACCTTGGTATGGGCCCGCCAAAGATATACCCTCTCGCTGCAGAGAATTTCGTAACAGCCATAACAAAAACGTCTCTTTTTTTAAGTTTTTTTTTTAAAGATTGTTTTATTTATTTATTATATGTAAGTACACTGTAGCTGTCTTCAGACACCCATATGAGGGCATCAGATCTCATTGCAGATGGTTGTGAGCCACCACGTGGTGGCTGGGATTTGAACTCATGACCTCTAGGAGAGCAGTCAGTGCTCTTAACCACTGAGCCATCTCACCAGCCCTAACAAAAACGTCTTTAAAAAATCAAACCAAACCAGATCACAAACCAAAAATAAATTAGGAGAGGAAAGCGTTTATGTCATCTTACAACTCCCAGGCCACAATCTATCACCGAGGGACATCAGGGCAAGAGTTCAGGGCAGGAATTTAGGGGCAGGAACAGAAGCAGAAGCCATGGAGGAGAGTTACTGCCTAGCTTGCTCAGCCTGCTTTTGTATGCAAGCCTGGACCACCTGCCCGGATGCCACACCAGGCTGGGCACTCCCGTATTGACCATTAATCAAGAAAGTGCCCCCACAAACTTGCCATGGGGCGATGTAATGGAGGTAATTCTTTAATTAAGAAGACTCTAACTTGTGTCAAGTTAATGAACCAATATGGCGAGTGACCCCCAAACCTCTGCATCACCCCCAGAGTCCCACCCAGCGTGGGTGGTGGGCTCCTGAGAGCTGTACAAATACATTCTCCCCAAACTAACTTTCGACCCTCTACATAGTCTATTCTGGTGTCACCATATGTGTCACAACAGCCTAGCACGTTTTATATTTATTAAGATAAGAGTCTTCGTGCCAGGTGGTGGTAGATGGTGGTGGTGGCGCACGCCTTTAGTCCCAGCACTCGGGAGGCAGAGACAGGTGGATCTCTGTGAATTCGATGCCACCCTGGCCTACAGAGTGACTTCCAGGAGAGCCAGGGCTATGTGGTGGAACCATGTCTCAAAGAGGGGAGTGTTGGAGGGGGTGGGGGGAGTTTGTTGTAGCCAACAGTTTAAAGGCACAGTCCACGACTAGAAGTCAGAACAGCAGGAGCCTGAAGCACCTGGTCCCATCACGACTACAATCCAGAAGCAGAAAGACAGAAACAGATCCCGTGGCCCAGCCCCTTCCGCACCCAGCCTATGGAAAACGGCCATTCACAGTGAGGGTTTCCCCATTTTAATTAACATAATCAAAATAACCTCCCCTAGCCATGCCCAGAGGCCATTCTCCCAATAGTTAGACTTTGTCAAGTTAACAACGCAGGAGGAGAGGCAGGGAGGACAGAGAGCGGACGTCAGTCAGTCTACGCACTGGACAGTGCCACGGAAGGGTCCGGGGCTTCTGCACGCCCTCCATCCGCTATCACCAAGGTCTTCTGCGGCTGAATTCTTTCTTGGCATCCAAAGCCCAGAGTGGCGCCCATACGGGGAACAACTATTGAGTTTCCCCATTTGGGAGTCTCCTTCCAAGCCAAGCTGGTCCCAGCGGCTCCACCCCACCCCGCCCCCAGCAAGCGGCCAGACCAGGGTTGCTCCTCTCCAGGGGGTTGTCAGACTTTACTGCCCCCTGCTCAAACCTGGCCTGGGGTGTCATTTGTGAAAGAAAAGAAATGACTTTACTCAGTCAAAGGAGTCCCTCAAAGAATTGGGAAGAAGTCGGGTCTGGAGATCGGCCTGTGGACCAAGAGGTGGGTAGCTGAGAAACACACACACACACAAACAGAGAGAGAGAGAGAGAGAGAGAGAGAGAGAGAGCTATTTCTAAAACTTGGAGCATCACCAAAGGGCTTAGAGTTCACAGAAGTCTGAGGTAGAGAATCTGCACCTTCCAAGAGCTCCAAGATTCTAAACGTTTGTTTTTTTCTAACAAATCTACCTGCCTCTGCCCCTGAGCGCTGGATTAAAGGAATGCGCCCCCAGGCTTGGCTTTTCTACAGTTTTACAGCCCAGCTGGAATTGAATTCAATTTCTAATTATCCCAAGTGCTGGGATTACAGCTCTGTAACCGAAACTCAAAACAACAACAAGTCAAAAACTGTGAGAAAAGGTGATTTTATTTGTTTTCTTCCAGACAAGATTTCTCTGTGTAGCCCTGAGTGTCCCAGAACCAGGCTGGCCTCACAGAGATTTGCCTGCCTCTGCCTCCCAAGAAAAGATTTTTACATTTATTTAGCTAGTTTTTGAGATGGTGTCTCACCATGTAGCAGAGGCTGGCCTTGAACTCAGAAAAACCCACCTGCCTTTGCTTCCCAAGTTCTGGAATTAAATGAAGGCTTGTATCATTTTTTTGCCTGACTTGTTTTTTTTTCTAACTTTTATTTTCTGCATTTGAATGTTTTCCTTGAATGTATGCATGCGTGCCATGTACATGCCTGGGGGCTGTGGAGGTCAGGAGACAGCATCACATCCCACAGAACTGAAGTTTCAAACGGTTGGGAGCTGCCAGTGGGTGCTGGGAATTGAACCCGTGTCTTCCACAAGAGCAGCAACTTGGAGCCAGAGCTCTTAACCACTGAGCCATCTCTCCAGCCCCCAGAAGCTTCACCTTCATCCATGGAAGGTCGTCAGCCCAGCAGTGGTCCATATTCCTTGAGCTTTTTGTTTCCCCTGTACGCCAATCAGCAAACAGAGCCAGAATGTGAGGTTGGACTCACGGACTGCGATACGGTTATCATTTATGTCAGGCATAAAAGATGGAAGCCACCTTGACCCCTTGTAGTTTTCGGCACATCTTTTTTTGCCCCGATGCCTTTGTATAAAACCTAGATTATTCTGTGTATAGCCAGCATCATGGTCACAGTTCATTTAAGCTGCAGAACGAGGCCCGGTGGTTGACCCCGTTGTTAACATTCCACAGAGAGAAGAGAGGGACCTGAGGCACAGAGAAGCAGCTTAGTTTGATCAAGAACACACAGCAAGTGGCAGAGCTGGGGTTTGAGCAGGGCTCTTTGAGTCTGTGCCCTTCCAGGCTCAAGCTCACTGCCTCATACTTCTTACCCTTCCAGCCCTGCTTGGACCTCAGCCTCACCCCTGCCCAGTGTCACTGAGACCCCTCCCAGCAGGCAAGTGTTCTGGGTAGTGATTTGTCGAAGGGGGCGCTCCTGCGTCTTCCCTGAGACAGTTTTAATGGTGTTTAGTAATAAACACACTCTTTTGAACACTGTGAGTGTAATAACAGTTATTTAAAGTATCCAGTGGATTAAAATAAAATAATGAATGGTTTAGTTGGCAGAGTGGCTCCTGGCACTATAGTTCCTGGCAGAGTGATGGGCACTGAGCCACAGGCTCCAGGGAGTGGACACATGGTTCTTCTCCAGGCTCACTGGAGTCAACTGTGGTTCCCTGGGCCTGTGACGTTCTGACCCTCAGAGGAGGGGTTGGATTCTAACTAGGAAAAGACAGACTGGCCTTTCTTCCGGTACACGCACTAGAGAGGCTGAGGCCAGCTTCCCACCATGGAGGCTCACCTCTCCACTGCCATTTTTGGGCTTCAGGAGGCCTCATAGCATGGCGGGGTGCGACACACTCAGCGGTCTTACCTTCTTGTCTCCTTCAGTCTGCCCATCATGAGGGATGTTTCAGCTTCTGTTTTTACATTTTCATGGGATGTGTGTGTGTGTGTGTGCGTGTGTGTGTGTGTGTGACCATGTGCACATGATGTCACCATGAGGGTGTGTGACTGGGTTCTCCTCTCATCTGGAGGATTCCAGAGAGCAGATGCAGGTCTCAGGATTAGTGGCAGACGCCTTCCCTCCTGAGCCACTTTGGGCTTTAATCCACTCGGTTGTTACACCTATGTCAGGCATAAAAGACAGAAGTCATCTTGCCATATATTCATGTTCTGGGCAAAGTACTGTTGCAGATTCAGCATCAGCATCAGCATCATCATCATCATCATCATCATCTTGCTAAGCGACTTTCACTGTATCCTGTCTGGTTTTGGTTTTCCAAGACAGGGTTTTTCTGTGTAGCCATAGCTCTCCTGGAACCCTTTCTGTAGACCAGGCTGGCCTTGAACTCAGAGCTGTTTGCCTCTGCCTCTACCGACAGGTGGATTATTCTGTTGTTTAATCTGCACCATGATAGCAGCTCACAACCACCTGCAACTCCAGTTCCAATGTCTTTCCTGGCCTTTGTGGGCACTAGGCACACACAAGGTGCACAGACATACGTGCAGACAAAACACCCATCACATACAATACACTGTAAATAGTAAGACAGAGTGGTGGCATATACCTTTAATCCCAGCACTTGAGAAGCAGAGGCAGGGGGAATCTCTGAGTTCTAAGCTAGCCTTGTCTACAGAAAGAGTTCCAGGATAACCAGGGCTGTTATACAGAGAAACTTTGTCTCAAATCACCAAAATAATAATAATACATAGTTACTTCATTGTGGATCGTATGTGTTCGGGTGATGGTTTGTATGCATGAGTACAGAGTCCAGGAAGTCCAGAGGAGGCTGCCAGCCTCCCAGAGTTATAGGTTGTAAACCGCCTACAGTGGGTGTAGGATAACTGAACTCCCATCCCCTGGAGGAACGGTATGTGCTCTTCAGTGCTGAGCTGACTCTCCAGATCCTTTTTGCATTTAACATTTCCTTTCCCTTCTTTTCTTTTGCTACAGGAGGGATGAAGCCCAGGGCCTCATGGATCTGAATAAGTGTTTAGTACGCCATGTCCTGAATGGTAGTCCTGGTCCCATGATGCCTTGCTGCAGTAGCCCTAAGCAAACTCACCATGGACAACAACTGTGTCAGGGTGTAGATGTTTTATGACTAAGTAAACTTTTGCCTTCTTTTTGTTTTTTTCTTTCTTTCTTTTTTTTTTTTTTTTGGGCAGGGCTGAGTTTGGAGCACTGTACCACAGAGCCACACCCCCAACCAAAGCAAGCCTTGTCATGTCTGGTACACAGTAAAAGTTCAGTGCTTCTGGATCATAG